GCATTGTGGGCAGAGGGGCGGGGGTTGGGAAGATGGCGGCTCCCAGCCTCCTCAACTGGAGGCGGGTTTCCTCCTTCACGGGGCCGGTCCCCCGCGCCCGGCACGGACACCGGGCCGTGGCCATCCGGGAGCTGATGATCATCTTTGGAGGGGGCAACGAGGGCATCGCGGACGAGCTGCACGTCTACAACACGGGTAGGCGCCGCGGCGGCTCTACGGCCCCGCCTGTGGGAGCAGCGGAGGGGGAGGGGAGGCGAGGCGGCGGCCGAGGCCCTGACAGCTGTCACCGCCGGGTCACTGCATCTTCGGGCGGGCAGCTGGGAGTGTGGCTCGGCCGGGCGGCCGGGGTTCCGCAGTGTCTTTGGTGGCAGCTCCGTTTCCCCAGGGCCCGCGGGGCAGAACCGGGCCCGGAGCGGGGCGCGCCGGCCCTCAGGCAGGCGCTCCCGGACCCCCCTCCCCAGCCCTGCGGGCGGACGTAGGCAAGAGAGAGACCATTTCCACCCGCCAGGGCCTCTTCCCTAAGTCTTTCCCACTCCGGGGTTCCGAGATCCCTCCCCTGTCAAAAATCAAAGCCAGCTCCAAACCCAAGCTGCTCCGGGCCATTCTCGTCTTTGCCTGCGGTCTTTCCTTAGGAGGAAACGAATCGGGGCAGGGGGAGGGCTGAGGGGTGGTGAGGAGGGAAGACGAAAGGCCTGGTACTTTCACCCCAAATACAACCCCGTATCTGGCAGGTGGCAGTCAAGATTTTCACCCCACTGGTAACCCTCTTAACTGGCGGGGAAGTGGTTCGTTGGTGAGACCGGCGCCTGTCTCTGTAGTTGGGTGTGTGTGCTGAAGCTCGGCTGTGCAGCGCTCTCGGAAAGAGGACTGTCAGCTTGAGCACCGCTACAAATCACAAGTGCCTCTGGCCGGGGAGGCCCTGCCTTTGAGTGCCTCGGGATAGAAAGAAGGGTGGAATTTCATTTTCCCCAACTTGTAAATGCGCCGGCTATCAAGAGGAAGCTGTTTCCTTGGTGTAAGGCTAATTACTGAATTTTGGGTCTATGTCATGATCAATGACTTTGACCAAATAACTTAATCATAGTGTTCATTTTAAGGTTAATAAAAATAGTGGCGTAGGAGGAATTTCATTTTTTCACCCTCTCCTCCTCCTGGCACTCTAATATATAGTTTAAAAGTTACTTGACAATTTGGTATAGCGTAAAAATCCTGGCTTTAGAATAAGTTAGACCTGGTTTGAATTTTGCTCTGCCGGTTGCCCAGGGTCATCGCTAAAGTTACCAAACTTAAATGTCAGATTTTCACTTGTAAAATAGAGATGATGATACTCACCAAGTAGGGTTTTGGTAAGAATTAAATTATGCAGATCAGGGTTTTTCAACTGGTATTGCCACTTTGAACCAGAGAATTATTTGTTGTAAGAGCATGCGCTGTATATTGTAAGGCGTTTGGCAGCATCTCTAGTCTCTACCCACCAGTTGCCATTAGCATCTCTCCCCTCCCTCCAGTTAGACAACTACACATTTTTAGTTTGCTCCTGGGGGCAAAGTCATCTCCAATCTCCAATAACCACTGATACAGATGATAAATACAAATACTCATAGTTTGTGGTAACTGTTTATTATAATTGTTTTTAATTTTATTTTGGCAACTAGTTACAAATCAGTGGTTCCTACCTGCTGTTAGAGGAGACATCCCTCCAGGTTGCGCTGCCCATGGATTTGTCTGTGATGGTACCAGAATACTAGTATTTGGGGGAATGGTTGAATATGGAAGATACAGCAATGAGTTATATGAGTTGCAAGTAAGTGTATTTCAAATTTATCTCAATCTGCAGCTTTAATAATGATATTGCTCCTAATTCTTTGAAAGATTGCAAAATATTTCATTACATATTTAAAATAGTATGAGCTTCACATTTTATAGCTTCAAGGAAAATGTTTCCACTTCACTAAAAAGCCAGAGTTTCTAATGTAAGTCTTTTTTCAATACCCAGTGTAACAGTTGTAACATTAAGATATCTGTTACTTAGCATCAGTTATATATGTTACACGTTTAGGTTTTTGTATCTTAGTTCTTCAATTTTAGCAGCAACAGAAGCACCTGAGGGCTTGTGAAAACACAGATTGCTGGGCCCTGCCCCCGGAGTTTCTGAATCAGTATTGTCTGGTGTGGGGCCTCACCCCTGGCATTCCTTCCAAGTTCCCATGTGCTGATGCTGGTCCCCAGACCATACTTTGCAAACCTCTGCCTTCGTTATAGAGATTGTTACCCTCACACTAATAAACACTCCCCCCCCGCCCCGGCAATACATACAAAAAAAGTGTACAATTTCATATGTCCTTTATAAATTTGATTCTGTTAAACTACACTCAGAGCCCTCTATGACAGCCCTCAAATGACTTTTAACCAACTGAGCTAACCGGCCGCCTGCCCTTAAATGACTTTTATTTCTGAACTGTGCATATGTTCACAGGGTTGTTATCATGAGGACATCTGCTAATTGAGAGGTATAGGTGAATTATACCTATTCATAAACAAATAGTTTTAGATAAATAGAACATCCATAGCCAGAGCATAAGTTTTAGAGTTTGGTTTGTTAAATGATCTTTATTTATGCTTATTTAAAGGTTGAAATACAAACTATCTATGGATTACCTAATTTCAGAAAGTAAGACTATATAAATTTCATTTAATCTTAAAGCTATGTATATTTAATTTTTCATTTGGAAAATATTTTTGCATTACTGGTGTTTATTACTATGAGCTTAGGTTGCTGTTGAGGAAAGCTGTGAATATGCAAGACTAGACTGACTTTCTTTCCCTTTTTTGGGTGGGGACAGAGGGGCAGAGGGAGAGGAAGAGAGAGATCTTGAGCAGGCTCCACACTGGGCCCCCATGCCCCTGAGCTGAAATCAAGAGTTGGACTCTTAACCAACTGAGCCACCCAGGCGCCCCAGGAAGACTAGACTGAATTTCTGTTACAATGTTTATTTTATTTTATTTTATTTATT